TAAAACTGTTAAAACATTTTTGATAACTGAAATAAAGATTAAATAAAATTAAAATATAAATATTAGATGAAAAACGTATTTTAGTTAGTTGCCAAGTTTTCCATTTAGTTTAATTTGAAGAACTAACATTACTAACTGGAAATAAAATAAAAACTAATACAAATTACAAAAGCACATAACAAAATTACTAAAAATGTAACAAAATGAAAATTGAAAGTATAAAAATAAAAGCTAATTCCAAATATTAAATACAGCTGCAAGGAGCTATTAAGGGGCCAAGTACAGCAGAGGCAAAATGGGGAGCTAAGCATGGGGCATCAGATCAACTCCAACAATAAGTAATTAAAGCTTTTAGGATGATTTTAGTCAAAATGGCTGAAAAATCCTAAATATAATATGATTTACTGGTTTATCACGTTTGAACAATAGTTGGCACCGTTATCAAGTTGTTATGGTGTAGTCAGTGTGACGGGACAGTCACACATAAAAAGTTTGGTGCCAATATTCCAAAGTGCTGCAGAGTTGCAGCCTCAGTATCAGTTTGGCATCATGCCAACAAATTCATTGATGCGCTATTCAAAAACAGTTTGGTCTATCAAAAAGCTTTTTATAACTTCATGTCTGCATGGTCTGAAGATGATCTGAGTCAATTTTGACGAAAATAGGACTAATGGTCTAAGAGGAGTTCGAGAAAATAGGTTTTGAAAGAAAATCGAAATGGCAGACAGGAAGTTCGGCCGATTATGGCATAATTGGTAACAATGTTCTCGGCATGATCCAAGGAATCTAGTAAGACCAGTCTCATGACAATTGACAAGAATCATCAAAAGCTATTAGAATTTTTGAACATTCATTATAATTTTTTACCACAAGGTGGCGCTGTCTCAAAACTTTTTGAGAACATTCAGGGCATGGTGCTGATGGCACATATACACAGTTTAGTAATGATACAACAATACATTCTTAAAATATTGTTTTAATTTTTAATTTAATTTAATTTAATTTAATTGAGCTTGTATTGTAGTTAATGGCAATTTCATGTTTTGTTTAATTATATCGCCACCAAGAGGCACAATCCACCACTTTTTTGTGTGTCCTCAGATTGTGCCCATACATATGTGTGTCAAATTTGGTGAAAAAATCTTTTGTTTTGGAGTTATAGACATATCTATGAGAACATAAAATATGACCCATTTCCAACTTTGATTGCATTTTTTGCGACTTAATAGCCAACGACCTAGGTTTCTGAATTTCCTATGGTGGTTTCATCTTGATCGGACTAACGGTTTTGAAGATATCGCAAAAGTTGTTTAAATACTAAATCACAACGTTGCACAAACCATAAGGAGAAACCAACCATGTTTGGTATCATTGGACTCAGCAATGATTTGGGAATCTAAGGAGATATGACTCCTGTGAAAATAAGTCAACCACAATCCAAAGTTATTTACGTGAATATTTGATTTTGGCTTGAAACTTCGTAGGCTCCTTCAGGGCATCGTGCCGATGACCCATACTGAGTTTTGTAACATTACACTTATGTGTTCATAAAATACAGCATTTTAGTACCAAATTCAAAATGACCGATGCCCAAAATGGCCAATATGGGAAAATTGGATATTATTCAACTCTGCATACAGTACCGAATCTAATGAGACAGATTTTATGATTTTTGGGCAAACCCTTCAGAGGTTATATGCAAAAATATTAATTTTTCATATCTTCTTCTTCTGTGCTGAAACCGTGCAGGTACCCTCAGGTCATGGTTGTTATAACACACACCAAGTTTGGTCTAAATATGACAAAGTGTTGGACAGATATAACCTCATGTCCGATTTGGCGAGCTTTTTGTTGAATTCGTTTGCATGGTTTTTGGGAACGGATGGGTCTATCAAAAAGCATTTGATAACGTTTTGCCAGGATGGTCTGAAGATGATCTGTGTTAATTTTTGTGAAAATCAAATGAACTGTCTAGAACAAGTTTGAAAAAGTAGGTTTTTCAAACTAATAAAAATTGTGAAAAATCTTGACCCCTAGAATTTTAAATTTTGGTGTCCACTTGACTCGGCATGAGGAGGAAAAAATAATTTTGTCTAAACTTTACGGTTCAAAAGTTATTAGCATAAACATGAGTGAAAATTTGGACAAGTGGTGGCGCTAGAGAATTTGAGTTTGAGACACCAAATTTGCTGTGGTTAATGTTGAGACTGTCCTCTTATCGGTGTGCCACATTTCATAACTTTCCCACAAGTAGTTCTATGGACTGCCATAGATTTCCATAGTGGAAGAAGAAGAAGAATAGGAAAACTAACGAGTACAATAGGTGCCATAAAACCTTGGGTGCTTGGCCCCTAATAAAAACTTTAGTAGTATAAATAAATTAAATAAATTATAAATTGCCAATTAACCTATTTTTACAGCATTTTTGCAGTCTTTTACCATTAAAATTACAATCTTTTTTCACAGTGTTCATATATTGTTCATATATTATTTTATATTATTTTTTTTAATACATATATTATTTAACGTGACACAAGCTTACTTTTCTTATGCATCTGCACTTGGCATGTTCTCTGCAAACATGCACACTACTGGACTGCAAGCCCGTGATCCAATTACACAGCCATGCGCTGTCTTTATATTTGTGCGGTCGACACAAAGTCTTAATCGTATCACGTGCAGTGTCTGTGCAGTGGGTGAGAATATATTGAGTTTCAGGTTTATGTGCTAATGTTAACACTGAGCCCTCTCCTGGGGCTGCAACACGCTGTGCTTCCAGTGCTATACTGTTTGGCCCTCAGCGCTCTTCAAGCCCCAGTGCATTATGGGTATCCCAGACTGCAGAGCTCTAATGCATAGTGGGTTTGGAATGGTGCCGGTAACCCTGGGTTTGTGTGGAAAACCGCTTGTGTGTGTGTGTGTGTGCGTGTGAGTATATTGACTCCACGTTGCAGCTGCATGAAGAGGATGCTACATGATTGATGGCTCTCTATTAGGATCAGTTGTGCATGGAGTGGGTATGTTTTGATATGACTTTCATATCACTTTCATTGATGTCATTATGAGGTCTTTGTTACAATTATTTGAGCGTTAGATCAGACACAGGCGAATCATGCTGTCAAGAGGGTTCCTCGTCAAGATTATGACATTCAAATTTATGTAGGTGGTGGAATGGACTAATTATTCAGTGGCTTTGGGCACCGGCACTAACCGCAACCTTAATGTTTACTTGTATTATGGTATTCATGCTTTTATTTTCATCTGCTTTGGTGCATGCAAGTTTTATGGAAAGCAAAAAATTTCTTGCAAAGAATAGAAAGATGTGGATTAATGTTTCTTTGCGTCTTATGCAATGTATGACTTAGTGTGTGTAATCTCTCCATATATTATAATATTCTGTGATATTTTAATATTATTCACAGCTTTCTATCACAGTCAAACAAATACTGATTCAGAAATTCAGAACAATTTCTCTTCATTGAGCTCAGGTCCATTAAATAATATTAATAGATACAACGTTTGATTTTAGTCATGTGTATTAGTATTGTGTATTAGTAAATGTTGAGATGCATAACATGAACTAAGATTAATAAATTAATAAATGAAGTTAACTAATGTAGTTAACTAATGTTAACAAATGAAACCTTATTGTAAAGTGTTACCAGTAATTGATTAGTTTATGTTCAATATTCTGTATCTGAACACGTGGGACATCACATGCATATCTGACATTCACAAATTGTAGATAGTAAATGGAAAATATTAGACACTTTGCTGTGGTTGGAAGGTACCCCCCCCTTCATGTTGTGCTCCAGGTCTCAATGTCCCAGTGTAATATCCATCATCTGCTCCATTGCAATTTTGCTCCACATTTTAAGTTTTGACAGGTAAAAGAGACTGTTCTTTACTCCACTTGGACGGCTTGCTGCAGGCTGCAGTGTGAAAAGGCTACCTCAAACTGTCCTTTGGGATTTTTCATTTCAAAGTGATTCTGTGTAGTTTGGTGGTATTTTGTGTTTTGCAATGCAAGAACCTCTAGTAGTACTGCTAGTGCAACAACAACAACAATAATAGGCTAATAAATTATTAAATTATCCAACATTAATTATTATTATTATTATTATTATTATTATAAAATGTAGCACCGAATTCGGGTGTCAAAAATAGTCACATTTCAAATTCAAATAGTGTGGAAACGACGCGGTGTTCTTCATCAACAGACAACCAATCATATACTGAGTCAGCTCTCCCCTCATTAAAAATGCAGGCTCTTTCTACAGTGCGTAGAAACTTAGGCGCGTTTTTTTTTTCAGCGTTGAACGTTGAAAATCGCGTTGAACTGTGACGTGTTGACGAGAGTAAAGAGACTTTATTGTTTTGTCTAGGCTTTTCTACGGTTCACGAGACAACCACCGAATTTATTTGCCGACATCTTGCGCGTGCTCGTCGCGTTCTGTCAGTGAATGTTTTTCATGAATCATATCATATATATGCTGATAGGAAAGTTAACCCGGGATTCACTAAGGTACAGTAAGGAATTCGAAACTTGGCTGCCCAAAATTATTTACTAACCCAGGATAAAATGTGAACAGTGTGAAACAGGAACATATCCCAGGATTATATTTACCAGGGCAGGGGTTAATTTATGTTTGAGGCTGCATACTATTTATGTATGTGGTGTTGCATAGTAATAATGATGATGATGATGATAATTTAATAAATAATAAAATATTAAAATTAATGACATTATTTATAAATAAATTATTTTTACTAAGTGTTTTAATGTTATTTTATTTTATTTGTAACTGTTTTTACATCAGCAAACCTGGCCATGCAGAAAGCAGAGGTGTGCGCTGCATCACATCGTCCATTCATCTGTCTTTTCACTGTCTTTTCTCGCGCTCCGGCTCTCTTACGGGGGGCTCTGTGTGCGCTGGATTAGAGAAAATAGCTGTTTTATCGCGCAGGGATTTGATCTCTTGTCTGTCTCCGCTCCGCAGCTCTTCGTTGCTGGGCTCCTGGTCTGCGCGAGGCTGTAGAGCCGTGTCCGTCGACTCCAGCACAACCAAATGCTTGTGTGACAGACTCTCCACCTTCGCCATTTTAGCACGCCTCAATCCCGATGTGGTAAGTCGAGCCATTTCTATTGTTTCATTTAATCGAACCTCAAAAGACGCATTTGTGTGATATTGTGTGATTTAATGTACCGCTTTTTTTGTGTGTCATAGTCATTGTGTATCAACAGATCCCTCTCTCTCTCACCCCCCTCTCCTCCTCTCCACGGCATGCCAGAGCCATACAGCAGATTTAATGCAAACAATTTAAGACATGTTTCATTCTTTAATGTGTATATAGTATACAAAAAAATATACAAATATTTGTGACAAAAAAGGACGTTTTGACAGGTTTGTTTAATGCTAGAACGCAGTGCATGAAACTTGCTGGCTTTCATACTGGATTTGCATACATTAAATGTATTTACAGAGAAAATGCATGTGATTAATACTATAATGATTCAAAATAGCTAACTACCTACATATGTTAAAGATTACAGTCTCCGTTATTTGTAATGAAATGCATTTTGTTTCAAACATACCAACACACAAATTCCTTTTTTTTTTCTGTTGGGTTTGTGCTGTGACACCTCGAATACATTTTTCTGGTACATTCAAATGTGCATAGGGGAATTGTTGGCCTTTTCATGAGTAGTGAAACATATATCTTTAATGACACACCATCCGTTCATTTGGGCCTTAGAGGGTTGACTTTGTGTAAATCTACATGTCTTGCTTTAAAACAGCATCTTTCTTTAAAATGATGGGATTTGGTTTGGTTTAATGCAGGAAGGGGTCGTGTCTTTGTGTGGAATTTTCATTCAGTGTGATTAGTTATTATTAGACTGGAAACTGCCTCTGAAGCAGTTTATTCACCAGTTGCCGTGGAAACAGCATGGGCAGTGGAAGTTCTTAAAGCTATAGAACACGCTATAACACTCTCTTTGTGCAGCTTGGCCCAGATATGAGCCAGAGAGCCCCAAAAAAAAAGGGAGGAAGAGGAAGCTTGACACCCTACTGGCCAAAACAATGGCCACGTCTTCTCTCATTTGCTTGCCAAGATGTTTCAGATTGGCTGCTTCAGGGCAAAACACTGTTTTGATTTGGGAAACCAAGTAAAAAAGGGACATCATAACAAAACAGAATTAGGATCACAGCATTACATAACAGGCTACTGTGCACAAAGCTGCAAAATGGGGTACAAAAAGTCTATAACAAGCATTTATTGCTTTTTGTAATGCATTTTACAGGCTTAATGTGATTTATTTTATGTTTTTGTCAAGTTGAGCATGATGTTCAATGCAAAATAAATAAATGTAGGGTACTTCACTTTGGGAATCAGTTGGATTGGAAATATGGAATTTCTGTTCACCAAAGCCACAACAAGCACAGACTGCCTTTTGCAACACATTTTACTTAGCCTACTTAAAGGTATAGTTCACCCAAAAATTTACTCGCCCTCATGTTGTTCCAAACCTGTATGAATTTCTTTCTTCTGCTGAACACAAAATAAGATATTTTGAAGAGTTTGGGTAACCAAACAGTTGATGGACCCCATTGACTTCCATAGTTTTCCATTGTATATACCTGAGGCTCTCAACTCTAGCCCTTGAGATCCACTTTCCTGCAGAGCTTAGCTCCAACCTTGATCAACCTCACCTGCTTGTAACTTTCTAGCAATCCTGAAGACCTTGATTAGCTTGTTCAGGTGTGTTTGATTAGGGTTGGAGCTAAACTCTGCAGGAAAGTGGACCTTGAGTGCCAAAGTTGAGAACCCCTGGTACCTTTAATTTGAAATTCTAAGTTAAACAGGGTTTAAACTTGGCTATTGTTTAACATTATCGAATTGCTCTCTCAGCCTAAGTGATGTCAGCAGAAAAGGAAAGTTGTTTCAAAGGAACATCATTTTGATTAAAGATTAAAAAGACAAACTATCTTTATTTAGAATGATGTGCACTGATTGATTGGTTGTTCAAAAACCAGGAAATTGCATTAAAGTAAATATGGTTATATTTATTTCACACTGATCAAGGCTGATGGTACAGTGCATCCAAACATGTTTTTAGGATATATCGAGCCCCATCTTGAAGCCAGTTTACATTATACACATTTTAGCGGTGTTTTACAGGCCTCCTGTGTGCATTTATGTGCTGCTATTTGCTCTCATGGATGTGTGTGTAAAGACCGCATGATCTGCATGTCTCCTTGTGGTGATCCAGAGAGCTATAGCTGTATGCTAATCGCTCGCTTATGATGGCTGTCTGTCCCGCTCTACCTGGTCAGATGGACATGGAATAAGGGAGTGTCGCAGTTAGCTCTTTCCATGCATCGTGGGAAGCATATTGTGGGGATTTCATTTGTGTTGCCATATGCCAGCAGAAGGGAGGACCGCGCTTCCCCTTGGCTCCACTCCCTGTCTGTGTCTCTCTAGCCTTTTCACTCCAGACCGCCACTGCTATGTTGCTAATTATTCCTGCAGCTCCACTTGCCACCTCAAAATGGCCCATCCAATGGCCCCTCCGCTGGCAACTAGTGTCCTACAGCTTCAGAATGATAAAGAGCAAATGAAGAAACACTTCCCTTTCTCTTTTTCCCTCCCACATTCTCAGTCTGAATATACAGTCAGCTGCAGTGTACATGGAAAGAGAGAAATAAAGGGAGATAGTATACTGCAGCTATTTTAATCACACTCCAGTCTTTCTACAGATGTTTCCAGGTTTGAACCAGGCTCTGGTTTACATAGGTCAGATTGTCTTACGCTTTATATGCAGTTTGATATGAGAAAATTGCTTTGGTTTTGCCCAGACTGAATATTTATGAGCTAAAGCTTGTAGAAATGCACAGTTACGCTACAGTTGTACTTGGGTGGAGCTCTGAATACATCATTGCCAAATATGGGTCAGTGAAGATGGCGAGAAAAAGAAACCGTACACTGTGTTGAGATGTTTCATGTTAGTACATTCTTCTGAGGTAGGCCATTGTCTTTATGCTTGTCATTTGTACAAGATTCGGTATTGCATTTGCAAGTCTATTATTTATGTTTGTGCAGTCTTACTTAATTTGCATACAGTTTGGCAGGTTTTAAAATATTAATAAAGAGTGAATATGAAGAGAATATTAACAACATCACTTTTTGTTGCTTTGCAGCCTAAAAAGAGAATAGACACAATTTTTTGTTTTATCCAGCTGTATTTATTCAGTGCAACTTATAACATCCAAGTCAAAGATATAACACCAACATGTCAGAAAAAATAAAAATAAAAAAACAATCACAGTTGGAAAAAAGGATCACCCCCTTGTGTCAGTATTTTGTTGAGCCACCTTTTGCTTTAATTACAGCCTTTAGTCTGTTGGGATATGTCTCTACTAACTTTGCAGAGTTAGTGCATCAAGTCATTCCACAGATTTTCAGTGGGGTTTAAGTCTGGGCTCTGACTAGGCCATGCAAGGACATTCAAATTTTTCTCCTTCAACCACTGTGTGGTCAGTTTTGCTATGTACTTTGGGTCATTGTCATGTTGGAAGGTAAACCTTCTTCCCATTGAACACTTTGCCTCATCCATTTTTCCTTCTATCCTGACAAGTGCTCCAGTCCCTGCTGCAGAGAAACACCCCCATAACAGGATATATCCACCTCCATGCTTTACTGTAGGAATGCTGTAATTTGGATGGTGAACTGTTCTGGATTTCCGCCAAACATATCGTTTGGTGTTGAGGCCAAATAATTCAATTTTAGTCTCATCTGCCTCAGAATCTTCAAGGTGCGTTTTAGAAAACTCAGTCGTTACTGCATGTGGCCTTTCTTGAGGAGTGGCTTTTTTCTTGGAACCCTCCCATACAAGCCACATTTGTGGAGAATTTGTGATGATGTCACATGCACACAATGACCACTCTTTGTCATAAATTCCTGCAACTGCTTCAGAGTTGATGTAGGTCTCTTGGTAGCCTCTCTGACCAGTTTCCTCCTGGCTCTTTCATCCAGTTTGGAGTGACATTCTGATCCAGGGAGGGTCTGTGTTGACCAAATACCTTCCACTCCTTAATAATAGACTTCACTGTGATTCTTGGCATTTATGAAGCCTTTAAATAAAAATGTTATCCATCTCCTGACTTGTGCCTTTCCACAGCTTTATCCCGGAGATCTTTTGACAGTGCCTTGCCACCCATAGTTGATTGTTTGCTTCAGTTGCACTACACAAGGACTGGAATGCTCCAGGAATGCTCTTTTCATGCTGAAGTAATCAAAATGAGCCGATCACAGTTGAAAGTTGAATGGCTTTGTGTGCCATTGAGAAGTAATTAGCTACACCTGATTGAGTTTACAAGTCATTTTTAAGAGGGGAGTGATCCTTTTTTCCAACTCAGTGATTCTGTTTTTTTATTTTATTTTTATCTTTTTCTGACATGTTGGTGTTATATCTTTCACTTGGATGTTATAAGTTACACTGAGTAAATACAGCTGGATAAAACAAAAAATGTGTCAGTCTTCATTCCAGGCTGCAAAGCAACAAAATGTGATGATTTTAAAGGCAACAAAGCAACAAAATGTTGTTATTTTCTATACCCACTGTACATATATTTACTTTACAATATCCCCATTTTTTGTGTTTTTTATTGTTGTAGTCTAATGATAATTTAGTTATTATTGTATCAAAAATCCGAAATAGAACAATTATAACATTTTGAATATTGGCTATCTATCAGATGCCTAAACATAATAAAAAAATGTCCTCTTACCTCTTAATGCTCTGACACCAATGGCAGCATATAGAAAAGCATATATAAAAAAGTACAATGAAGTATAAGTGCACCAGCTGTCCAGAACTGACTTAATTGCGACTTTCTAAGCCTCCTTTTTCCTTCCGTCTCACAATTAACTGTCAAATGTTTCAAAATTGATGGGACTTGATACTTGATAGTTTCTGTTCCTAACTAACTATGGGTCTCTGTCTGCACTGATGGACTAAATAATTCCCTGAGTACTATCCTGTCTTCCACAGCTTAGGCTTAGTCAAGTGTTTGATTGGCTAGGAGAAGACAAACGTAGTCTCAGAGGATACATTTCTTTCTTGATTGTCAGTGGGGACCTTACTGCGGTGCAGATTAATCAGAGGGATTTAATTAACTTGGCCCTGTGCGCATATTAAACCTGGAGACAAGACAGGCTGTAAACTCACCCAATTATCTTTATGTGTAAGTGTAAGTCTGTGTTTTCGTCTTAAGGTGAGAAGTCCACACCTCGGAGAATGCGTATCAACCGTGGACATCCTAAACTCTGCTGTACCACATAAATATATTTAAAGTGTTTAACGGATAATATTTCTAGACATGCATTATAGTGGCATAAGTCTTAAGCAAGGAATGCAGATATTCACAAACACACACAGGCATGCACTACTCACACCTATGGTACACTTAATGCTGCGTACACCACTGCAGTGGCCGCTGTTTCTCCACCACATCACCATGGCAACCAAGACAATGATTGCGCAAGCCTGCAAATGTGTTATATTTGAGGCTTTTGATTCACAATCTCTGTATGAGTGATTCACAGCATCAGGCATTTAGCATTTTCCGGTTGTCTGTATGTCATTGAAGCAGTCATAGGTTGCTATACTGTAGCTCTCTGCTGTGCCCTATGGATATCTCAGTCCTCAGTATCAGCTCTTTACCGAGTGACCTTCATCTCACCTTGTTCCTTAGCCGGAGCCGCACAGACAGCAGCCCACTCTCCCCAGCTCTCTTCTGCACAGAATCGCATGGAGGACTGCAGGCGGCTAGCCTGATGCACCATTAGCATCTGTGAGCACTAACTGAGTCTATTTCTTGTTTTTGACAGAACATGGATAAGACCCAGCTTCCATCTGTGACTCTGATCGTGGGCTGCGGGGTCTCGTCCCTCACCCTGCTCCTCCTCATCATCATCTATGTGTCTGTTTGGAGGTAAGCAAGACTTTCCGCTGATGAAACAATCTGGCTGTTCACCAAAAAGAACAAAGAAACTTACTTGATGGGAAACAAAAGAGGTTTCAGCACCATGGACAGCAACATATATTTGTGTTAAACGCTTTGGGATGCTTTGGAGTTTGAGATTCAAATCAATTGTTTGACGTGATGTAATCCTAAACAAGTCAGGTTGTTATTTACTATTCATGTGGTTATTATTGAAAGACTGATCAGCTAGGCCAATTAATGCCGATAATTGTTCTCAATTTGCCCATTAACAAAAGTGGTCATTCTGTCTAGTGTCAGTTCCAATAACTACCAACAGCTTAGTCCATGGTCAGTACACAATTTTTTTTTTTTAAATAAATGTTATTTAGAACTTTCATTTAGCAGAAATGTATTGATTGATCAAAAATGACAGTATAAACTTTTACATTGTAATAAAAAATTCAGTTTCAAATAAATGGCGTTCTTTTGAACTTTGTTCATCAAAGAATCGTGAAAGAAATGGATCACATTTTCCACAAAAATATTAAGCAGCACAACTGTTTTCAACATTGTAGCATAATGATAAGAAATATTTCTTGAGCACCAAAACATCATATTTGAATGAATTCTGAAGGATCATGTGACACTGAAGCCTGGAGTAATGATGCTGAAAATTCAGCTTTGCATCACAGTAATAAATTACATGTAAAAAAAAATTTATGCAAAGCAGTTATTTTAAATTGTAATAATGTTACCAAGTATTCCTGTTCAAACACCTGTCAAATTCCCAGTTTATTTATTTATTTATTTTTTGATCAGTTAATGCAGTCTTCTTTCAAAACCATTTAAAAATGTTCAGAGTCTGTATACAGTACAGAGGGATCCTTGCTTATACTCATGTTTTGCATTTACACATCCTAATTTTTTTCATGCAAAACATATTTGAAATAATTAAAAGTTTGCAAAAATGTCTTTTTTTTCTCTCCATGCTATTTCTTCCTTTGCATCTTGTGCTTTAATGATCTGTACAGATACTTTCACTTGGTCAGTGTCACATCTTGGTCGCCACTAGAAATTATACATCAGTTCAGGTTCCATTAATGTGTCCATCTATTGAAAGCATTGTGGCTGAATGATAGCGAGCAATAGATGTCATTTAGTTGTATTGGCTCAGTGTTTCTGGGTTTTTTCTTCAGGTACATCCGCTCAGAACGCTCTGTCATCCTCATCAACTTTTGTCTGTCCATCATCTCCTCCAATGCACTCATACTCATCGGACAAACTCAGACACGGAACAAGGTATGGCCAAACAAACACAAATAAGTTGATAAAGCCCTTGCTCTACAATAAATATTTTTAATCTTCCTCTTTTCTTCTTTTTACATGCCATCCTTACCTTTGATGGATGGACTCTCTTTTTTCGCTCTTACTATTTTCTTGCTCTTAGGTTGTTTGTACTCTTGTGGCTGCATTTCTGCATTTCTTCTTCCTGTCCTCTTTCTGTTGGGTTCTCACGGAGGCATGGCAGTCTTACATGGCCGTGACTGGCCGTCTTAAAAACTGCATCATACGCAAACGTTTCCTCTGCCTTGGTTGGGGTGAGGCTTGTGTTGCATCTTCATTTATAATCTGTTTCTTCTGGAAAAAAAAAATCACCCAGCTGGGTAGTTGATGTAAAATTTCACTTGGTTTCAGCAGCATAGTGTGGTACTACATGCTATAATCTAAAAATGGTAGCACTGTATTTTACAGTACGTGTACTTCCCTGGTACATACATGGCAAATATCTTGTACCTACAGGCAAATGAGTGGTAACACAAGGTACTTACCTGAAGTGTATGTACATTGTAACAAATAAAAAACACGGCTGTACTTAACAGTCGTACATGCATGGTAATTATTTTGTACATACAGACAAGTGTGGGTAATAATGGTCACTTACAGGTAGTGCCCGTACATGGTAACTAATTAGATACTTTACTGTACTTACTAATGTATATACATGGTAAATATGTAGTACTTACGGACAAGTGGGTACAAACAGGCACATCCTTACAGTATCCGTATATGGCAACTAATAAGACATATTACTGTACATACTAATGATATGTACATGGTAAATGTGTAGCACCTATGGAAAAATGTGGTATTATGTGGTAACAAACAAGACACATACTGTACTTGGTATACACGTGGTAAATATGTAGTACTTACCAACAAGTGTGAGTAATAACGGTCACTAACAGGTAGTGTCAGTATATGGTAACTAATAAGACACATTACTATACTTACTAATGGTCTATACATGGTAAAGTTTAACAAAGTTTGAAGAACTGGTAATTCCTGTGTAATGTTTATGTAAAATGGTGCACTTTATTTTACAGTCCTATTTCCATATACTTCCTATGTACGTACTGGTGTATGTACCTATTAGTTAATGTACAGAATAAGTTATGCGGTACTCAAGTTG